TTTACATAGTGAGTTCCAGGACAGCCAAGGCTACATAAAGGGACCCTGTCTCAAAAATAAATTAAGTGGCTGGACAGTGGTGGTACACGCCTTCAATCTCAGCACTTGGGAAGCCGAGGCAGGCGGATCTCTGAGTTCGAGGCTAGACTGAGCTACAGAGTGAGTCCCAGGAAAGGCGTCAAAGCTACACAGAGAAACTCTGTCTCAAAAAAAAAAAAAGTGTCCCCAATGGATACACATCTTTAACAAAACTGCTGTACCTAAAGTTCTGGGGACATCTTGGGGGAGGAGGGACTATGAGAACCAAAGGACCAGGAAGTCCGTGAGATTGTATCTCCTGGAGATGACAAGGCAGCTGTACCCATGGTACTTCATCAATAAGATTGCCTAAACAAGACCTGAACAATAACACCAACAGACATGCTAATGTAGAAGGGGAAATTTCAGTGTCCCACACTCAGACAAATAACCACAGACAATTAATAACGGCTGAGAGAGAGACTTAGCCTCTCCCAAGGATAAGTCCCTAATTGCTTATCCAATCATATAGACCCAAGCTATACTAAATGGGCCCAGCAAGTTGTATATATATTTATGCACATATAAATGTAAAAATAATAAAGAAAAGGCCATTAATTTGAGGGGAGATTAAGAGGGGATGGAGGAAGAGGACATGGGAGGATGGGAGGGAGAAAAGGGAAGAGGGGGAAATTATGTAATTACATTTTAATTAAAATTATTAAATAATAAATTAAAACATGAAAAATAATCACATAGTTATGGAATCATGTACTTATCACATGTAACCAGTAGATACTGGCTTCTGTCTCTTTGGTGGACAGTGTTAGGGATCAAATCTAGGTCCCTGAGCATGCCAGACAAGAACTGTACAACCGAGATATATGGCCGTCCCTTTAAAATATACTTTGAATGTTGAAATAGGGTCTGACCAAGTTGCCCAGGCTCCCTTTGAACCCACAGTCCTCCAGCTGCAGTCTCCCAAGGGATTCTCGGCAGACAGAACCAGGCCCACTTTTGATGTGTGTGGATTTGAGCAGTCATTTTTATTGGGCAAATTCACAGGGTAGAGCTACTTTATCGTGGGGTCTCTGTATGTTCATAGTGAGTTCAGCCAAATGGTTTTCTGAAGTGGCTGAGCTAGAAACGTAAGATACTTCCAGGCACTGCCTCCACCCACATTTAGGAAGCACTAGGACCCACGTGCGTGTGTAACACTTCAGCCATTCTTGTAGGTGCGCATGCAAATTAGATTTTATCATTGTCATAAATCATGGGAAGAATTAGTCATCTTCTGTAGCAGAAGCTACCTACCATTGCCCTGCCCACTTCCCCTGGGATCCCTTTTACAGTCTCAGCTGTTACCTCAGCTGTTACGGGTGAAACTGCTAAAGACTCACATCTGCACCTTCACCCACAGCAGCATTTCTCAAGCTGTGAGTCGCGACTCCTTAGAGGGCAAATGACCCTTTCACAGGGGTTGAATATCAGATATCCTGCATATCAGCTATCTACATTACAATTCATAACCGTGGCAAAAATACAGTTATGAAGTAGCAACAAAATAATTTTATGCTTGGGGATCACCACAACATGAGGAACTGTATTAAAGGGTTGGAGCATTAGGAAAGCTGAGAACCACTGACCCAGAGCTTGCCACTGGGTAACAGGTACTGCCACACAGATTTGACACTGGCCCCGCTAGGAAACACCAACCCCTGCCACACACACACACACACACACACACACACACACACACACACACACACACACACGCCCCAAGACGATCGGGTGAAAAGCTGACTGAAATCCGGTAGTTTTGCAGGCTGAACCTGGACTTGCAGGATGCTCTGGCCTTTCCTCCTCCTGCCCTCATTTCCAGGCTTCCCTGTGAGCGTTCCTCAACACAGTATTTTCTGCTTCTCCTGACCCATACCCGGTGGTGGTGGCACACACCTTCAAGGACAGCACTCAGGAGGCAGAGGCAGGGGTGTCTTTGTGAGTTCAAGGCCAGCCTGGTCTATGGAGGGAGTTCCAGGACAGCCAGGGTTATGCAGAGAAACTCTGTATTGAAAAACCGAAGTAAAGAAAAGGAAGGAAAGGAAGGAAGGGAGGGAGGGAGGGAGGAAGGAAGGAAGGAAGGAAGGAAGGAAGGAAGGAAGGAAGGAAGGAAGGAAGGACCTGACTCAAGATGCCTTTGCAACATCCATTTCTCCATCCGCCTTCCTCAATGTCCTACGTCCTATGTATGGTTTAGTTAGTTGATGGCAGCCACTAAAAACCTGTTACTTTTCTACTGTTGAGTAGCAGATGAAACAGTCATGGAAGATGAGTGGGGGAAAAAAAAAAAAAAAAAATCAGAGTGGTTCCCAAGGCAGAGTGCATGAAAGCTGCTGGATCCACAATTCCCACCAATCGTGGCCGCAATAGGGGCTCATGTTTACCACACCCAGTCTTAACCAAAGGCCAAGAAGACATGCAATTCATATTTGCAGATGTACAACATATGAGTTGAATTAGTCTGTGAGTCTGTGGCATGTGACAACTGAACATCTTTCTATCCCTGTTTCTACTTTCTTTGCACCGGCCCCCAGCCCCC